ACACATTTACAATTGACCTGATACTACATTTTTACCTCGAAAGCAACTGCACAAAGTAGGTTTTTTTTTTGAAGACGTTTCGCCTGTCATCCAAGGATGAGATTATTGGATGAGACTTTTCGGTTTAGTTAGAGAGACACAACGATGGCTCGAAATTGAGGGTAACACACAAGTATAATTGACCAATGTTAGTCAGATGTATGTCGTATCGTAAACTCTTCTGCTGTCATGTTTCTTTTTAGGTAATGCAGGACAAAATCATATGCCTTCCTCAGAAGGCGTCCTCGCCTTCAGAGAACGCGAGTAAAGGCGAGATCAAGTCGCCGTCACACCTTCAGTCCAACAATTCTGCTTTTCTCGTAGAGATGACGGGCCTTAAAACTGATCTGGATCTTCAGCAATACAGTTTCATCAATCAGGTGTGTTATGAGAAGGCCTTGCACTGGTATGCCAAGTATTTTCCCTACTTGGTTCTAATACACACTGTTGTGTTGATGGTGTGCAGCAACTTCTGGTTTAAGTTCCCTGGTTCAAGCTCGAAAATAGAACATTTTATAGCCATGCTGGGGAAGTGCTTTGACTCTCCATGGACCACCCGAGCCTTGTCTGAGGTGTCGGGCGAGAATCCAGAAGAAAAGAGAAAAAAGATGGAGTCTTCGAGGTCCAACGTGACTACGTGTCCTGCCGATGAAAGTTCCGAGAAGACGCAGTCCCTCCGATCAATACCGGAAAAGGTGGTTGTTGAAAAAAATGCTGCAAGCGTTCTTGATAAAAAAGAGGGGGAACAAGCAAAAGCCCTTTTTGAGAAAGTGAAGAAGTTCCGCCTGCACGTCGAGGAAGGTGACATTCTCTATTTTATGTATGTGCGACAAACTGTCATCAAGGTGTTCAAGTTCCTACTGATTATTGCCTACAACAGTTGCCTTGTCAATAAAGTGCAGAACCGAGTCCATTGCAAAGTCGAGATAAGGGACATGACCGGCTACAATGAGTTTGAATGCAATCACACGATGGCCCATTTGTTTTCCAAGCTTTCTTACTGTTATCTGTGTTTAGTGGCTGTATATGGCTTGACAAGCCTTTACACCTCCTACTGGCTGTTTTACAGATCACTGAAAGAATACTCCTTTGAATATGTGAGACAGGAAACTGGCATCAATGACATCCCAGATGTCAAAAACGACTTTGCCTTCATGTTACACATGATCGATCAGTATGACCCGCTGTATTCCAAGAGATTTGCAGTGTTCTTGTCTGAAGTAAGTGAAAACAAACTCAAGCAGCTCAACCTCAACCACGAATGGACCACCAAAAAGCTCCGCCAAAGACTTCAAACAAACCCCAACAACAGACTTGAACTTCAGCTCTTCATGCTCCCTGGGCTACCTGATACGATCTTTGAGTTGATGGAGCTGCAGTCACTCAAGCTTGAAATGATTAACAATGTTACAATACCGGCGTCCATCTCTCAGCTGGAAGACCTGCAAGAACTATCACTTTACCAGTGCTCACTGAAGTTGCACATGAAAGCCATCTATTTTCTCAAAGAGAACTTGAAGGTGCTTCGTGTGAAGTTCGACGACAACAGAGAATTTCCAACCTGGTTTTACAGCCTTCGCAACTTAGAGGAGCTGCATCTCACTGGATCATTCAGCTCTGATGCCTCGAAGAATATAGTTCTTGAGTCTCTGAGAGAGCTCAAGTGTTTAAAAGCGCTTTCCCTTAAGAGTAATTTGACCAAGATACCGCAGTCGATAGTAGATGTTTCCAGTCATCTGGAGCGACTGCATGTGCACAACGATAGCACTAAACTTGTAATGCTGAACAACCTGAAAAAATTGACCAATCTGATTGAGCTGGAACTGGTGCGATGTGATCTTGAACGGATCCCACACGCAATTTTTAGCCTCGTAAATTTACAACAGCTGGATCTAAAAGAGAACAACATTTGCTCAATAGAGGAGCTGGTCAGCTTCCAGCACCTTCAAAAACTTACTTGCCTTAAGCTCTGGCACAACAGCATCACATATATCCCAGAGCACATTAAAAAGCTGGGAAGTTTAGAACGCCTCTACTTTAATAGCAACAAGATTGAGATATTGCCTTCGCACTTGTTCCTGTGCCACAAACTGCGCTTCCTGGATCTGTCCAACAATGACATACGATTCATACCACCAGAAATTGGAGTTCTTCAGTGTCTGCAGTATTTCTCTGTCACGTGCAATAAAATTGAAAATCTACCAGACGAGCTGTTCTTTTGCAAAAAGCTCAAGACACTGAAGCTCGGGAAGAACTCGTTATCGGTCATCTCACCGAAGATTTCCTACTTGACTCAGCTGACGTACCTGGATCTCAAAGGTAACCATTTTGATAGTCTGCCCAAGGAGCTCGGGTGCTGTCATGTTTTAAAGCACAGTGGACTTATAGTTGAGGAGACACTGTTTGAGACTCTGCCTTCAGATGTCAGGGAACAAATGAGAACTGAATGACATGCCTTACGATCTTTCTTGCTTTTATTGCAGGAATTAGTAGAGTTGTGAAAGACCACATCTATCTATCTATCTATCTGTCTATCTCTTGATTTTTGGTATTCATGGAATGGACATGGTAGCATGAGAAATTATGTCCATTGTACTGAATTTGCGGCTACGATTCAGTTAATGGAAGTACAGCGGTTTGAAAATGGTTTTTGGCTAGGGGAACAAGTTTATGAGAATACCTAGCAAAGCTTCAACATGTAACCTCCCAGACAGTGCAAACACAAGTGTGCGTTATAATGACATCTGCAACGTATCTCGGTTGACTTGACGACCATCAAACCTGGTCAACTGGTGATTTACCTTAATTCTACTGGTTTGCCACGCGGGCGAATGGTGTGGATACCATCATTGCTAATGTATACCCGTCTCTTTTAGTGTGTGTGTATACGTGTCTACCTTTGATTTGTGATTCCAATACACTTTCCAATAACAGCCAGTACATATATGGTCTCCTATAAATCAAGTGAAGACGCTGGGAATGTGATGAAATGTACTGATGCTTATGATACTTCACTATGGTGGAAATATAAGCCGCACTTAATACATTCCTTCACAACTAACACTTCAAAATATATTCTAATAATTCGTATCTACATGGAAACTGCAGGAGCATTAGTAGATACCCTGGTGATCCTTTTGGTTGCAGTGAAACACGGTTAAATAGTGGGTCATAAATAGATGTCTTGTTAGTTATAATTTCACTGTACTGTACTATGAATGATATCACCACAAATGTATGCAATTCTATGCAAGTTTCTGGCAATGTACTTTTTTGAGATTTCTGATCATTTAGCTATCAGATTATTTTTTTTAACCTTTGCTGCTGAATGAATGAGCACCATAACGGTGTCACAAGATCAAGCTAATATTTCAAGTTCTATAAAAAAAATATTGAATGAGATACTTGCCGGATGGTCAACATTTATTAAACACTTTAACCAATGTAGATATTGCATTTGACACAATAAATTGCAGACCACATCCAGATGACCATTACTGAGATGTCATACGCAGTAAACCATTCAAAGCGCATTGCTCTCTAAAAAAGCAAAAATAGGCAATAGAAACATTTAACATGCCAATTGTTGAAAACAAACAAGTATTATCAGAGTAAGAGTCATTATGTATCTACTCAAAATACATCACAGGGTGACTTTAAAAAATCCTGGAGAATACTTACCCAACCCTTACCCAAGTCTTAAGTAGGGTTAAA